AACCTTTAGATTTTATAGATTGGTGCTACAAAATCACAAAGAGCTTGAACAAATAACAAAAATCATATCACTTGAAGACTGCCAACAGCAGCAATAACTAAAATGGATAGCATATGTAATTCAAAGGGAAATTAAGGATATAGTCAATATGTTGACTTTCTAAACTATCTGAAATAAAAGATTAAGAAAGAAACTCCAATCAATACTGGAAAGAGCAAGAAGAGTCTGTATTCCTGAAAAACGTTTTTCAGAAAAGTGTTTCATAAATTTCAACCAATAGCACTGCTAACTGTTCAGTCAATGAATGTCTAATATTTCTTGAAGAGAAATGGCCAATTTACCATTACCATTGTGCAGCCTGTATATCTTTCATTACACTAACACAGTGGTTCCCAAATGGTGGGACATGCCTCATAGGTGTGGCAAAAGAGGATAGCAGGTGAGGGAGAATGGTTGAAAGCTTCAAAAAATTCTTATACCAAAAATAAATATGATTTCAAAATTTAAAATATTCTGGATTACTTGTAATTGTAGGCATGAGTCCCAGTATAAATAGTTATAAATAATTATTGACTGATTTTATCATTGTGATATTTTTATATTATATCAAATATTATGAATATAGTAATTAGGGTTTGCAAATTGGAGGAGAGAGTTATCACTGATAGTGTTCTGACTTCAAATTTGTGGTTATCTCCTTTTAACCCTCTCCCTGTTTTTTTTTTTTTAAATTAACTTTTTATCATATAAAATTTGGTGAGGCATGAGTAAATTTTTATCTAAAAAATGTGGCTCAGAGAAAAACATTTGGGAACTACTGCACTAACATATCACACTTTAAATAATTTCTGGTTGTTTTTTGTATGATAGCTTTGAAAGGTTAGCAACAAATGTTTTTAATACATTCAGTCTCCATACACTTTGGAAATAGTCCAAAATTTTGGGTAGCAACTCTCTCTAACATACAGTTAGGTGGAAAAGTTAAGATGCCTGTAGTGGAGTGATGCCTGAGTAAATAATTATAACCTTCCCTTACATTTATCTACATTTATATATACAAAAATATTAATAAAATGAGAAACAGCAAAATATGGAAGCAATAAAAATGAGTATTATTTATTATCTGGTTGTTATATAATTGATTCACATGTTGACTGCTTGTCTGATGAGTGAAAATGTCACAAAATTTTCATTGATCCACATGTTGACTGCTTGTCTGATGAGTGAGAATGTCAGATAAAGTCATTTAGGGTTTTTTCATTGAATTTCACATGTTGACTGCTTGTCTGATGAGTGAAAATGTCACAAAATTTTCATTGATTCACATGTTGACTGCTTGTCTGATGAGTGAGAATGTCACAAAATTTTCATTGATTCACATGTTGACTGCTTGTCTGATGAGTGACAATGTCACATGTTTGTGTGTGTAGAGGAAAAAAGTGGGGTCTATTCTCATTAGTTTAGAAAGAGTGAATTAAAGATAATTATATTTTTTATAATTATTTTGATGCTATAATTAATTTGCATTTATTTATTTTTTATGGCAATGACAATTTTTTATTTATGTATTTCTTTATGGACATGGCACATCCATGGAAACTTTTTTATTTTTGAACATAGTTAAACATATAGACATTTGATTTTCATTTAACGTTGTTTAGAGATGAAGATAATTGTTGTAATCTAAGAAAAGGTTACTGAATAAGAATAACCAAAATGAAGGTTGGAAATGGAATGATAATATTTATAACAGAAACAACATACAAGATTCACCAGAAACATGTAGTAAGTAATCAACTGCTAGTTGTGAGAAGTGAATTACAAATGAAATCCCACAGTGAAGATAGTCACTAACCTCCCCATGTGGTCAGATGTGGCACAAGGCCGAATTTAATGTAGGGTAAACCAAGCCCACATGCTCGGGCAAAAATTCCCCATAGAACCCATACAAACAGAGTTGGGTAACTGTCTATTATCCCAGATGAGACTCTGCCCTTTGGCATAGCATTTTCTGGGTTCCTCTCTACCCAGATGCCAAGAGTTTGACCAGCACACTGTGGAAGACCACAGTGAAGATATTCACTAACCACCCCACCCGGTCAGATGTGGCACAAAGCCAAGTTTATTGTGGGGTATCCGAACCTGTAGGCTCAGCCAAAAATTTCCCGTTGACCCTGTAAAAATGGGGTTGGGTAGCTGTCTACCACCCCAGACGAGACTCTGCCCTTCAGCATAACCTTGTCTGGGTTCCTCTCTGCCCGGAGGCAGAGAGTTTGACAAGCACACTGTGGAAGACCACAGTGAATCAACACACAGTATATGCCATTGTATTTATAAGGATTGGGAAATACCCATTATAGTCCATAGGTATTGTATAACAATAATATAACTAAATAAAACTGAAAAAAATATTTTTTAAATTATTTGGAAGATATCATTAAAAGAATCACAATTTTTCTGTTAAATATCAATCATTTTGTAGGAATAGAAGCATTTTCTGGGGCATACAGAAAGAAGATTGTAAGTGTATGTGAGACCTGGAAAGGCTTTAAAGAATACCAAGATATTAGAAATCAGCCACTCCATTTTCCAGGAAAAAAAATTTACAAGTAAACAACCACCAACATGCCCAGGTCAATCTGTCCAAGCAGGATCAGCCTAAGTGCAGACCAAAATATCTCAAAAAATCTTAAAATATCACCATGGAACTTACAAGTAGCTCTTGCCATGGTTAGTCAGAGTATATACACCTACTATTAGAAAGAGACTGCACAAGTTTGATTTGCAGTGAAGGTGTACATGGAAAAATCATTTGTTATTAAAAAAATGAAAGAAATATCAAGGCAAGACTAAAGTTGTCTGAGAAACCTCAGAGAAAAACAAGGATTTCTGGAAGAGTTTGCTTTGGATAAATGAATCCAAAAGAAGATTATTCAGGCAAAGTCACAGAATAAATGTTTGGCAGAAATCAAAGAAAGCATTTAAACACAAGAAACTTATATCAACTGTAAAGTTTAAGGATGGAAATATTATGGTTTGAAGCCACTTTGCTGCAAAAGGGCCTGACCAGCTGAACATTGTATGACCCACTATAAATTGTTTATCATAGAATGATGAAGAAAACATACATTAGAAAACTGAAGGTGAAGCAAATGTGGATCATGCAATATGGCAACAACCCAAAACATTCCAATAAATTCTCCAATGAATGGATTAAAAAAAACAAAGAAGTTGAGAATTTCAGAAAGATTAAATCAAAGCCTGATTCTTAACTCTATTGAGATATCATTCAGTGATCTGAAATAGGCTGTGGATGCAAAACCAAAGGAGGCAATACCAGCTATTAGGGCACAGGTTGTTAAAGTTCACCAAGCATAACAATCAACTATTTTTTTCTCCTAGTTTCATTTCTGAATAATCTTGAAATAATATTAAATGTAATGCTTGCTTAATTTTAGAATTTGATATTTGAAATTTTTAATCTTAAATTCAACGGTTAACTTAAAATTTATTTTTTATATTGATTTCTAATTTAATCTAAACTTAACTTTATTGCACTGATAGATTGTACTAGAGTATGTTGTCATATTATTTTAAATTACCATATATTTGTATTGTGGTTGGTTATCATAGGTTACATAACAAAGTTTCCCCTACTGAGGGGGTTTGGTTAGCTTTTGATCTCTTAAAATCATTTATTTTCCATTCAACATCATTACTTGATAAGACACCAGAAGTGTCAAAACAAAATTACAACTTTTGTAGTGATCTTATAACATAATTATGTTATAAATTTGAATAAATATTATTAACTCTATTCAGTATTGAGTACTCTTTTCTTTTAAGAACAGTGTTTTTGGTTATTTGAATTTTATTCCATGTGTACCACACCTGTACTTAGGTATATATATATATATATATATATATATATATACCCACACTGCTGCACAAAAGTAAGTGAACCCCTACAATGATGTTAAAAAATTGTCTTTTTTTCCAGATAATCAACAAATCTTAATTAAACTAGATATCTATTATGAAAAACATTTATTAAACGAATTACCATACATGCCAGCCACTAGTGGCCTGCTGGTGATCCTCCATCAAGTCCACCAGTGGTAACATTGCTGATATAAACATGCTGGTGGTCTGACAGCGGGGTACCAGCAGTAAACACAAGTAGTATGCCACCCAGTGGCAGATTTGTGGTTTGTGTGTAGGGACAACCACTTTTAAAAAATTTTATGAAGCTATTTGCAGATTTTTTTAGGAATGTCAACAGAAAATGTCCTTAATCTTTTCCGTCTCTATATTCAAACAACTGAAACCCTCATGCAGCAAATTTCTCTCTCTCTAACTTACTTTAATATAAAACACCCCAAAGTGTTCTCTTGCTGACTGTTTACTGTTTGGCTTAGAAATATTACATCAAATCTCTTTAAAATACATACAAATAACTTCTGGCATATTGTTTCATGCCAGCTCTGAAAAGTTAGCATGATATAAAGTTAAAGAAAATGAACGATATTGTATGATTGCTAATAAGACTGGAAACTAGTTGGACACTGCTACTTTATCCTAGCCTCAATAGAACTATCATAAAATGTCATAGATTTTAAAGAATCTACATCATAGCAACATGTAATCTAATGTGTTATAAACACTCATGGGCATCAATAAATGTGTTTAAGCTACTGGTACAGATGCACCTATACCTGGATATACCTTAGAAATCATTCTCCAAATAAAACATACATTTTGAAAAATGTTACAGATGACTATATGCAGAACCTGAATGAATGATAATTTCCCTAATTGGATTGGAAGATGTCTCCATGTGAAATAAGCTCCTTGCTCACCAGATATTAGTTTCCTTGACTTTTTTCTGGAGTATGCTGAAGAAGATATACAATTTTATTCAGACTTTACAGTCACCCTGTAGTGTGACAAGAAAAATATTTCTTCATCTTTGTATAAATATATGTAAACTCAATACTTACGCAAGACTTCAACTTCACAGAAATTCAGGTTCCTTTTATTATCATTTCTGGAAATTTTAACGATACTTCCTTCCAAGATATTCGTACACTGAATATCAATGATTTCTTTAGGTTTTGTAATTGTAGCACAAAGACTATCGTCAATGTGTATCTCAGTATTTTCAATGCGAAAAACTGAAAAATGAAAACAGGAGAATATTTAAAGAAAAGAATATTAAAATTTAACAAACCAAAAAATCAGCTCTCAATTTAGTATCTAAGCTGATGACACAACCATTCATTCCTGTTTTGATAGGTAAGTCTGATTAGTTCAATAACATCAAATTGGTAGGCAATCTAAAAAATGAATTTCAGTTTGTTAACTGGTGCAAAGGATAGCTTGTTAATTTTAATGCCTCCAAAACAAAACTGCTCCTTATTAATGATCCGAGAGACCCCATTCTACTTTCCACCAGCATGGCTGATGCTAACTTCTAGGAGAATAACTCATTGCCTCTTCTCTGGCTAACATTGTCAGCTGACATGAAATAGAATGACTATAAGGAATCCATTGCTAGGTCTGCTGCTAAGAAAATTGGTTCACTGTGTTGTGCTAGACAATTTTTCTCTTCAGAATCTATCTTGCATATCTATAAGTCTGACATTTGTCTATACATCAAATATTGCTGCCACAAATGGTCTGGTGCTCCTGCTATTTATTTAGAGATTCTTGATAAAATCCAAAGAAGAATCAGCAATATTATTGGTCCTGACCTAACATCTCAGCTTCAGTCACTTTTCCACCAAAGTAAAGTTTCTTCCCTGTGCCTTTTTCATAAATACTTTTATGGTAATTGTTCACATGAGCTCTTCACTATAGTACCTAGACTTTATGAAGTGCAGTACTAGATTAGCAACAAGATTTCATCAATTTGTAGTTAAATTGCCTAGATGTAACCATAAGTTCTATGCTAACAGGTTATTTTCTTGCACTTCTTGCTTGTGGAACTCTCTTCTGGATCCATGATTTCTAGCAAAGTTTGACCTTCAAAAATTAAAATGCTATATCAATCATTCTCTACTATCTCCTGGATTACCTTTCGATAACTCCTTAATAATGTTTCTGTTTTCTAATTCTTTCACACCTAGTAATCTCTTAGTGGCTTTACTGCCTTGCATGAGATGAATTCTTTAAAAAAACATATTTCTATCTGGATTTCTGGAATGAGGAGTTATTATTTACACTATTTACATTTGGACTATATTTGTTGTTTTTATCACAATGTTTCAGCTATTGTGCCCTCTGGCCTTCATCAGGTATATATCAGTCTAGGAAAGTCTACAGAGAATTCTGAACTGAAATCTTCATTTAATGCTTTGGCTGTTCTGCTCTCCTGCTTTCTTTATGTGTCTGTTGATCTGGGTAACTTTCAGGGGATTTTAAACTGAACACTTTAGTTAATCTACCATGGTAGATTGTTCTCATTCCAGTGACCATGTCAGGCATATCTTCTCTTGTTCCGCTTCACCATGTTTCCACTGAATCTAAATGTATATTACCTGACCTAGGGATTGAACTAACAAAATTAATGAATCAGGACAATTCTGAAAGTTGACCTTGGAGCAATAAAACTAAAGTTCTTCTTTCTTATCTGCTGCTGCTGCTGTTACACTTAATGGCCTTCACTGCTGTTTCTCTTTTCTGGCTGCTGCCTTACTGTCATTTCTGTTTTTTTTTATTAATGGCACCCACATGATATTTATTTCTATGCCTTGACAACTGAGGAGACTCCTCATGGCCTTGCGTATGCACTGATTCTTTCATACATCTGAGTCTCCAGTGTTTTTCTCTGCCTAATATTTTTACTTCATTTCATCTTTTGCAGTTGCAACAAAGAATGCAAAGATGAAAACAGTTACCTCTTAAAAGTAAGGCTAGAGGTACATCAAAGAGCTATAATTAGGAGTGAGACAATGAAATTAAGTATGGCTGATCATGTATAAAGAGAAAAGGCTGGGTATCACATCTTGTAGAATGAAGTAAAACTCCCAGACATCAAAAAACATCTGAAGAGATAAGTGCATAGGCTAGTCTCAGTAGTCTTAGCATAGAAATAAATACCATATAGTACCCTACATACAAGCTGCTAGTGTCTCACTGGTGGGCTGCCGATAGCAATGCCAGTGGTCCTCTCGTAACAGCCACCGGTGGGTATCTAGTGGTCCACCAGTGGTAACATTGCCAAGATGAACATGCCAAACGCTAGTGGCATGCCACCCAGTGGCAGATTGATGGCATGCATGTAAGATAGCTATAAATAAATAAATAAGAGTAGTAATAGCAAAGTAGCAGTAAAAAATGAAAAGCAGCAGTGAATACAGTCAAACATGACAACAGTGCCAACATCAGCAATAAGCAGTAAAGAAGAAGATTAGTCTTTAGGTTTCAAGTTTTATGTTCTCAAAGGATAATGTCATTGTTGATACTTGTATTTAGTGATAGAGACAGCTACACTATCAATCTGTGAGCAGAGTAGTACAGGCTTAGACTCAGCTGAAAGAGAGCAAGCAATAAGCTATACTAAATAAGAACAAGATATCTCTAGACATGGCCAGAAGAATGAAAACTATTCTACCTGGCAAATTAAATAAAGATTTTACTTCAAAATTCTCTGTAGGTTATCTGGATCGACAGTCACATGAAGGTGGCTAAAGTGTGCAATGACCAAAGCATTGTAATAGCAACAACAAAGTTGATGACATTAATCCGAATGTCTGACACAGATTCAGAAATTTCATATCAACATCCACAATCAGAATAATATAATTGTATTTTCTTGTTAAATTTTGGATAAAAATTCTCAATAAATGATAAAAAGCATAAAATTAAAACAATAGAAATACCAAACTATAATCAATTTGGAGAATTTAACCAAAATGAATATACTGTATATGTATCTGAGTGAATGCATATCTGTGTGTATACAGTAGTGTGTAAGACTTACGGTTTGCATTCCTGGGATATATTCTTATCTGTGAAATATTGTATCTTTTTCCAAGGTCAACTTGCCAAGATGGCTTATATTTTTTGTTTGTATGCATACATGAACATCTTTCATGTTGTTGGTCAGTGTTGCCATCTACAGCCAAATCAGCAGAAAAATTGAAATCCTGTTCTTGGCATGTATTATTAAAGAGAATTGTGGAATGATTGTATGTGGAACTCTGTGATGCTTTTTTCTTCAAAGCTACATTTTCTGAAACAGATAAAAGAATTATTTAACATAGAATTTTAGACAAGTTAATTTGATAAAAATCTTCAAACTCAAAAATGAAATTAAAATAACATGGAATTTATCATGTTCAGGTGTTTTATTGAAATTATTATGAATCTTTCAGAATAACCCCACTTTGAATAGGCCCCTTAGCATTGTTACAATGATCCCTGTGACTGGCTGAAAAAGAACCAATCAGAAGGCCCCTTACTAAAGCTGCTTCATCCCAATCTGTGCATCATGTTTGAATCTTTCTTCCTCTTTCCCACATTGACTTTCAATGAGTAGCATATACAAAAATTACTCTTGGAAAAAACTTCAACAAATCTGAAACCAGGATTGTAACATCTTCTTCCTCAGGAAGTCCAGATGCTGAGACATTTGCTGCCACTGACGCAACAACATGAAAATCACAAGACCTCAAAGAACTGTTAACAGGACGTTTCATTTCTGTGGCAAGATAAGCCTGCAAAATACCATTTTTTTGCAATACCATTATTGTAAACCTATTTCCTTTCTCCTTTTCTTCTGTTATATTCATAAAATATTTGAATCTCAAAGATTTGGTTTTGTTCTTTTTTAACTCACTGTGTCATGTCATTGAATTATTTTTTTTTTCTACAGTGGTAATTATTTATTTTTTCAAACAAACTTTACAGGTGAAATACCAACAGTTTCTATGCACCAATACACATGTGCACTCAAATTCCTAAATGAATATAAAGCAGCCTAACTATGCATAAAAACAAGCATATATATATATATATCATTTGAAAAAACAATTTTTTTATGTAAAAATATAACATTTGTGGATAAGTTTCTCTAAAAAAAGAATTAATGACATGAATTTTAATAAAATTTGAAATTCTTACAATGAAAGAAATCACAATCGAGAAAGTATGATACATTTTGAGAATAGGTAACTCTAAACAGGGAAAACAAATAATTTGATAATGTCTGTGAGTGTTTGGAGTACACAAAAGAAAACCATAATCATATTTTTGATTTCTCCTTTGATAGAAATACAAGGGATGCAACATAAATTATTATTTCCTATTTATTTTCATGGAAACTGTAACAAATACAAGGAGCATATTTGTACCATTGGATTTTCAGTTATAAAACATTATTTTTTCACATAGTCACCAGCAATGTCTATACATTTGTTTTTTATCAATGATGAAGAAGAACCTTCATTTAATTGGTTGACAACTATGCAGGGTTGCCTGGAATGTTACTAGTCATACATATCTCTGCCATCATTAGAGAAACACGCTCCCTGCCATATACTGTTAGGTTTTTACAGATGGCATCTCAGCTTCAGTCACTTTCCTTCTGCCATAATATAGCTACCCTGTGCCTTTTCTCTAAATATTTTCATTGTAATTTTTTATGATGAACTTTACTCTAAGGTTCGTAGACTTTATGATTTTAAGTGCAGTACTAAATTAGTGGCAAGCTCTCTTCATTTTACAATTTAAATAGCTAGATATAAACATATGTTCTACGCTAACCGTTTCTTCTATTACACTTCTTGCTTGTGGAACTCTCTTCTGGCTTCCTGGTCAAATTTGATCTTCAAAAATTTAAATGCAATGTCAATTGTTATCTTCTATCTTCTTAATTCCTGTTCTTTTATTGTTCTCTCTCCTTTTTTACTCATATTATCTTAGACTCAGTAACCCCTTTTGTCTTAGTGGTTTCATTGCCTTGCTTGGGGTAAAATGATTTAAAAGTATTCATCAATGCCAGTTGATATAGTTTGTTCACATCAAGGAATTCAATGATACACCTGATTCATTCACATTTTTGTGAAGTATCAAGAAAAAAATATTTTTCTCTTTTTATACTGTATACATATTAATATGTATTAATGTTGATAATTTACAAATTCCAGTATAAACTTTCTTGAAGGTTTCAGAATTCAAAGTTGTCATTAGAAACCAAACCTTCAATATGAACAAAATTTGAATAATTTTTAATATTTGACATGGATCTTCAGTTTTTGCAAATGATCCAATCATTATTTACCATTACATTATATGTGTGAAAATTTTAAATAATGTGCAAGAAAAGAACTTAGCTTTTCTCTCTTTTTCTCTCTATGTGTACCATGAACCTTCGGGAATTGAGTGACCATGGCTCACCTCATCTTCCTTTCTTTTTTTTGATTATGGTTCAGATAATTTAACAAAATAGTTGTTTTAAAACAAGTTCATATTTGAATTTATAATGTCACATAAATATGAAAATGGCTATATTTTTACTTCAAACTTCATAAAGTTATTGAATCATAATTATCCAATGGTGTTAGTTAATATTATAAATAAAAGGACAAAAAAGAAAATTTATACCGTAATTCAGTTTTTGACAGTCAGGACCACTTCTTCCACTTTCACAGCCCATGGGACAATTTCCACTGATCTTATGGCATTGAGTATAATTGGCACAGTGACATTGCTTATCACATTTTTGGCCAAACCAAAATGGGGAACAACCTGAAAAAGTTCATTTTTAACATAGAGCTAATGTGCATATATTTTCTTCTATAGACAATTCAAAATATCTGCACCATCTTCCAAAATATGCAACAAAGAAATGTGATTAAATATTAAGAAAAGCATACATAGTGATTTTGTGTAAATCAGATTTTTCTCAAAGCACTTGCCAAAAACAGCACATTTTGAACATTACTGGTATTGCCGAAAAGCACTCAAAATCTTTAAATGTCATTAAAAAACTGTAGATTTTGACAATCAAATATGAAAATGATGTGGCCAACTTGCTATCACCTAAAATAAAGTTTAAAAATGTTTACAGTATCATTTTCAGATAAAAGCTCACTACAAATATTTATAGATTGACCAGTATATTTACAAAAAAAACGATTCAGTTATTTTTTGTTAATGTTTATAACTGAATGCTTATTGTGGGATTCTTTAATGTTTTTCTTCTTGGATGCTGGACATCTGAGAGCATAATTTCTTCTGATCTCTATGTATTAAATAATGAGCTATAATTGACAACATGAAATGCAAATTTGGCAAACTTGGTTAATATTTTAGCTGAGGTGTTTTATATTCACTTTGCAGCACTAATGATCTTGAGAAATGTATGAATTCACATTTCTGCACTGGGTCCAGTCACTAGATATCTTGACAAAAATATCTAATTTGACAGCATGTCCTAATGCTTGATAGAAAAGAGTGTAAATGAGTAAGCATATGGGTAAACAAGTTTCCTAGATTAATCATGCAGAAAATATAACCAAAATCAATTAAATATTAGGTTGGAGCAAACGTTTATAACATTTTTCAACAGCTGGCATTTGAACATGTGATTTAGTTTCACACGTGACTGCAATTTATGACATATACACATATTCCAAAAAAGTGACATTTCTATATAACTCATGTGTGGATTTTGAATTTTAAATGTTTTTATGTTAAAAGTGAAAATAGAAGAAAATTAGATGCCTTTTTGTCATTATTTCCAGAAAAATGCTTTAACAGCTAAAAAGATATGGAGATGTTTGTATGTGGTTCATTAAATTCAGAATTGAAAATTTTTACATGGAAGGTCTGCATTTGTTGATGACCAAACTGAAATACTGATTAAAAACAATCCAGGTCACATGACACAGAGCATTGTCAGGCATTTTAAAACACTTGGTTATGTGAATCAGTAAAATGTTTGAGTTTCTCAAAATTTAACAGAAAAAATTTATTAAACCACATTTTCATCTGGAACTCTCTGCTCAAATAACAAAATCAACCCATTTTTTTTCAAGGATGATCATAAGTGATGAAAAATGGATTGTTTACAACAATGTGGAGCAAAAAATACTGGGAAAAATTAAATGAGACACTATTAATCACTCAAAAAGCCAATCTGGTCCAAAGAAGTTGATGCTGTATATCTAATTGGGGGTTTGAAGAGCATTGTCTATATTACAAACAACTTCCTCAAAATCAGAGGCGGTATTCAGTGATAAACATCTGGAATTGACCAGTTAAAAGTGTATCATATTTCATCAGGACAATTCCAGATATCATATCTCTTTGCAGACTGGGCAGAAATTGGTACAGTTTGACTAAGATGTCCAATTACATTTCAGCGTACTAACCTTGTACATTCAGATTACCATTTATTTTGGCCACTAAAAAATTCCTTTAATAGTGCAAACTTTAATTCTCTGAAAGCCCATAAAAACCACATAGACCAGTTCATCACGCAAAAAGATACTATGTCCTGGGGAGAATCATGATGCTGCCTCAAATATGGAAAATTATAGTGGAAGAAATTAGCTGAATAAATCTACATACAAATACCTAAATCATGTCTTTGAAATTCACTTAAAGATGTAATGGAATAACCAGTCACCCCCATGAATGATTACACTATAGGTAGTTAGTACCTATAAAGTCAACTGTCTATGAGAGACTGGAGGAAGAGTGATAGCGAGACAACGCAAGCATGTCTGACCTTCCAAATAGTGGCACTCACAACTAGATTGTCCTGTCTGTATAACTGTACCGTACTTCATATTGTACTGGTTGTGTACAATAAACCTTTCTTCTATTATCCACCTGGTGTTAAGTATTTATTTAACACTTAAAAATGCTACAAACTTTGTTCCAACAAAATTCAATTTAATAAAACATCTCAAATGGGTTTCAATAATGGCATGGTAGTCATCCTCAGTAACACTAACTTCTTCTATTCAATTTGTTAAACTGGCAGTTAAAGAATCAATGGACTGGAAATGAAAAAAGAATAAAAATGACACAGAGAAAATGCACATATAGAAATTTACAGCCAGAGAAAAAAAAAGAATTCATGAAATATAGATAAATTAACTAGTCTTATCAATATATCTGATTTTTTTGAGATTATGTGGCTTTCAGATTATCTAAATACCATAGCTACATAGGTTGTAGTAGTAGTTTAGATTAAATAGTTGACATAATAAATAATAATATTAATAATAATAATAATAATTCTTCTTCTTCTACTTCTACTACTACTACTAGTTGGGGATCATGTAGCTCTCAATAACTTTTGTCTTTTTGCCATTTCTACTATTCAATATTAGTTTAGTCTAGGGCAGTGCTATTCAAAGTATGGTATGTGTACTAGTGCCAGTACACAAGCCATTGTCTGCCAGTTTCCAGGAAACAGTAGTCACATTCTATATCATGGTTGAGTGAGAGGATATCTGATTTGGTTTCTTTTTGTTTAACATTTCTGTTTTATTTTTATTATGGTTACATATTTCAATTACTCTCATGTTAAAAGTCATTACTATACAACTAATAAATGAAATATAATAAATAGCAAAACAGTAACCTGAAATACATATGACAACACCATAATGATGATGTGGCATGTGACTGTGAGAACCACACTTAGGAATACTAAATGACTATTTTCATGGACATATAAAATCAATAGATAATTATTAAAAATGATGCAACTTTTATTATATTCATTATATTTTTATTATATTCATTATATTGTATAGATAGTCTCAAAATGCCCCTGAAATATGACATATCTAAAAAAAAAAAATAAAATGGTGGGGAGACCACAATACCAAGCTGGATTGGAAATCTTTATTCACTGGTCACTCTATTATTGGAAAAAAACTTCTGGGGTATACCAAATCAGACAGTTTGAGAAGCTCTGTTCTAGAGTATTATTTGTTTAACTAATCCATTGTTAGAGCATGAATACTTATTGGCCCATTTACTTCTATCTCCTTTTTCTTTAATTCCCCCTCTGAGGCCCTATTATACGTCAGATATTTCAGTTCCCTAGTGTGCGAGTCTATCACACACAAAAATACATACATACAAATACAAATCACATACAATGCCAAGCATTCATTGGTTAATTAATCACCACTACGTTATTATAGACAATTTACAAATCATAGCAATGCAACAATTTTGTAATCGCTCTATTTTCATGTAGTCAGTTTTGTGCACTTTTGGGAGAAACGGATCACAGAAGCTTTCTTAAGTCTCCCCAAAGCTCGCTCGCTGATTGGTCTATGCCAGCCAATCAGATCGTTTGCACATGAAGAATAATTATTCTTCCTGCACAGCAATCTGGAGCCTATAGTCACTTATTTAAGCAAGAATTTTCCTTAGCTAATTAGTGAGAATTCAACTGCCAAACAAATCCACGTCAGTTGAAACCATGCGCCAACCTTCTCACTCATACACACCACTCACAGGCTGAACATATCTTGTATATACTCACATAATCTTTTCTAACATGGCAAATCTTTTAAGAACAGTCATTATAAGAGATTCTCATGAACATTATTCGAGTGAACTTTGAAATAATAAAATAACAGTTAAAGAGAGACAACTCTTGTTTATTTCAATCTTTTCTTACTTAAATGCATGCTTTCTTACACATTGTTGTTTGATATTGTACATCTTGTTAAATACATATTTTATGTGTAACAATGTCTTTAGCTTATCCTTTTCTACGTCAGCCCTCATTTCTAATCTAAAGTTAAATTAATGTGATGAAGTCTGCCACACTAGTGATATCTTTTAGTTTTTTGTTATATTTGTTTTTATGTCTGAATAAATGCATGTTTGTGTGAGTGAGTTATTTATCCAGTCAAACACATTTTTGCCTTGCTAATTGATATTTCTGCTATGATTAGGATTGTACATAAACAAGTCAGCTACTGTAAGTTGAATTATTTAGAAAAAACTATACCCGTTCAATGGTAACAAAAATTTTATTTGTTTAGTTTAATATTCAGGAAATATTGAACATAACAAAATGGTGAATAATATAAAGTTTTCTAAAACTTTGCACAAGATGTGCAGATACTAAATTCATTTTAGGCAAGGGGTTGGGTGCCAGTACATTGATTCTCAGTAGGGTGCAATGATATTTTGATTTTTGACAGAGGTTCTTATCCATACATAAGTGATTTTCTATGCTATTAATTATCTTTTACTCTCTACCAAAATCATATCTTGCTAGAAACAAAATAAAATAAAGATAATTTATTTTTAAAAAATCAAAGAAAAATGAAAAGTAGTCAAAGTAACAAACCGAAGACTCTCAACTTTGAAAATGAAATAGTCTGTGACGTCTTGATCAACAAATATTTTCCAGATGCATCTCCACTCTGTGTTACATTCGTGCATTTGCCTTCATAAAATTTTGTGGAACCAATTTTCAAGGTGATGTTTGTTTCTGAAACTTGAAAAGAAATGACACCAACTAAATAATGCAAGAAAGAGAAATTCATGGTTAAAATTAAAAAAAGGAAATAATTAAATAAAAAATGAAATATCATTAAAATCAGTTTATTTTAAATGCAATGCAACTCTATCTATTAATCATACTACCTCAATTACCTTCTTTGTAATGAGATATTCTACTGCCATATCAAAAAGAAAACCTAGCTTGACTTACCATAAGAACAGAATATCTCATTAGTAAGTATAGCAAGAATGAGTTTTTAAATCATTGCTTTTTATTTATTTTGATTCATATTAACTTTTGGATATTTTTTTACTTTTAATGATTTAGAAAGTAGAACCAGACTTTGACTGATTATCTAATTTTATTTCTAATGAAGGAAAAACATTTTTCATATTAAAAAAAATGTAATATCATGAATTTTCAGATTTGTGTCACTTTTTAAAGTATAGTGTGAGAGGTAAAATTGTGAGCTTGGGTGGGATTGGTCATTAGGTACAGTTTTAGGTATGTTGAACTTGAATGTTGTTTTCATTTGATAAAGAAATTATTTGCTGAAATGGGTGACACAAAATAAATCTTTAATCAGATTTGTTTTGATCAGGGATATGACACACTGTCAGATGAAGGTAACGATAACACCTGTGATTATCGGGTCAAATAAGGGTGATATTCAAGAACATGGAAAAAGTTCTACTGAAGGTGGATATAAGCAATACAAGACCATAATTTTGATTGGCATACCAATGAGAGAAATACTGGGATGGAGCTTCTCAGTTCCTCCTCCAATACTTATGACAAAAGGCCATGATTTTGATTGGACCACCAATCATATTTGGTTCTTGGGGTCTTCCCCCCTCCACCTACGATGTGTATGACATTGGTCAAGCATTATTATTGGCTAGCCAATCAGAGCAATGGAATTGGGGTTTTGCACCCCCATAAAAGCATTTGCTGAAAGAGCAGCAGTATGATCGAACTGGTCTCACTGTGAGTAGACCAACATTCTCCCTGCCAGATAACTGTGGTTCCTCAATCGGCAGAAAATCTCTTTCTTTTTTCAACTCTTTCACTCAGCGACCTTCATTTGAATAGTTGAACGACTGTGAGCTGTTTAGCCATAACTACAACCATCAGTCATTCTCTTCTCAGCTAAAGAATTCCTTATACAAGTTATACAAGCAAAATGTCTTCAAATCCCTTTTGTTTATGTATTCATTATAAAAATTATTTTTACACTTGTTAATGAGTGTTGTTGAAGTTAATTAAGTTTACCCACAACACAGGTGATATTAGTCTTTCACAAGCATAACCAGGACAGAGAGGAATCAATTCTGATCTTCAACAGTTGTTCACTGATATTCCAGTGAATACTGAAACACAATGTTGGGACACAAGATTGGTTCAGGGTAGGCTTGGCAGAGACAGACCAAAGTAAATATGGCACTCAGTGAAGCACACAGCAACAGGGTTACAATTTACTTACATGTGGCAGTTGAGTTAATTGTGCAGATAAAATCCTTGATTACTGCTGTCGAAAATATAACTAATAACAATTGAAAAATTTACTTAAGTATTTCCATTGTTTTGCTTTTTGACCATACAGGTGAAGAGCAAGAAAATATAACCTGTCTAGAGAGATGTAAATGAAATTTATTTGTGGTGGGATTCCTTGGTATTTATTACTGCATATGTGTAGGTTACTGTCTTTTTTATCATTTCACTCCAAGCCTTGTGCCATTGGATGAGAAGAATTAATATTTGTCTGAATATCATCTGTGTTTTCACACCTGGAAGGAAGGTCTTACTTGTAGGTGAATTTGTCTGGTTTTACCACAATCTTCTTTTAGGGATTTATAATTTCAGTTGATAAGTAGAAAAAAATCATGTACAAAAACTCTTTTGTTATATTTTGGCATTCATTGGACTTTCTCCAAGAGAACAAGGAAAGTATGAATTTAATTTCCGTTCAAAGAAATATATACACAAGCATCCCCCTGAAAAGAGACATAGCCAATATGAAATACAAACACCCAATTTTTTTTAGGTTTGTTTAGCAGAAGGAGGAAGAATGCAGCATTTGTTTATTTCTTTTTTTTGCCTTTTTCTCTTTTTCCATCTCAAAAATTTTATGAAAGCAAATCTTAACATTGTCTACTATCAAAATAGAGAGTAAATTAATTTTTAATCAATTCTTTTTAAGAAAACTATCTTTTATAAGTAAATATTTTTTAAAAATAGATGTACCTTATATCTTATTTAATATTCATAGATTTTACAATGAAAATTCAAGAAATAATAAAACTAATTACTAATGATTTGTTTAAATTCTGATCAGTCAATTGCAGTCTTGTTTAGTTTTTAATCAATTTCACAACAGTAAAATATTTGTTCATGTATGTATATCACTCCAAAATCACAAATATAATTTTGATCAAAATTTCTTAGTTGAAATTCTAAGAAATAATAAAATTGATTTCTAATAAATTCTCTGCTGTCCTGAAAGATTTAAATTTTGACAATTTCAAAATAAACTCAAAATTATCATTAAAAGAAGTAATGTTTATTTTGTTTTTATATTAAAACAATAGATTATATTAAAAGGCTAAATATATTTACATAAATCTTTTTACAAGAATTAATGGAAGTACAAAATTTTATCATCTATTTGAATTCTTACAGAGAAAAATCAATACATAGAATATGAACATTAGGCCACATCATTGTATATAGACACTGATATGCTAAAAATGTAAATACTGTTCATATTGAACTGATAAAGATTATGAACATTCTTGCATTAATTAGGTTCTGTAATATATATGACATTCCTACACATGTATATGGTGACAATGCTAGATTTATAACAGATTATGACATAATTGGGGAAGTTTTTAATTCTAATAAATTTTCTGACCATTTTAGTTCAATATAAAACATTTGACTATATTCTGATTGGTTTGGAATACTTGGAAACATATCATAAGAGCTATAAAGTTGTGTCTTTACAAGACAATTAGTTGTTCAAACATTAACTAATTATGGCTTGCTAATTTATTTCTGATATACAGAATGCTATAGATGTTCTAATGATTCTGATTTGAAAATAATTACTCTTAATAGATTCTTAATGTTAATGAAGGATTATAATTTATATAAAATAAATAAAGCATAAATTTGCATCTCCCCAGTAGATCTTATTTGATTAAATCTATTAAAATTATGGATGAGATTTTGTAATATTTGTTATAAATAATATCTTTACAGTCTAAGAGGACAATGTAAAGGTTTATACAAAACTAAATTTTGTAATATAATAAAAATAGGTGATGTTGTTCTGATCAATAATCCTATTAAATTCAGACCATATTGGTCCCTAGGTAGAGTGATAGAATTAACACCAGGAGATGGCCATATGGTCAGAATTAAAAAGAGATGGTACACTATACATTCATTCCTAAAAAAATTATATCATTTGGAATTTTTCATTACTCATGCACATCATCCTGATATGCTCCAAATCTTAGGATAGCATTATGTGCTATCACTGTATCATAACAACATGGAAATATTCAGACATTTATTGGTTGTGCTTTGACATCTACTGATCCAGTGGTCACATTGGCTAGCCTGCTCATGGCACAGAGACATGAATTATCTGAGTTTGAACAGGGCATGATAATGAGAACATTTCTGAAATTGTGAGGACATTTAATATCTTTTGACCTATGGTGTCGTGTATGAATAGCTAATGGAAGGCTTCACCACCCCCGATGGATAGTACAGTGGTTGACTATGGTCTTAACTGATTATAACTAGAGGCATCTAGTTAGAAATGTCTGTGGTAACAAACAGGAGACACTAGCTCAAATCACAACAACAGTTGATATCAGAGATATATGTAACAGGTCAGTTCATCATCACTTAGCTTCCATGGGATATAGGGACAGATGACCTATCAGGATATCTCTATTGACACCATGTCGCTGAAGATAAAAATCTCATATGGTCTCATAGCATCACTAGTTGAACTCTAGGTGATTGGTAATGTGTGGCACTTTCCAATGAGTTCCACTTATTTCAGGCTGATGGTAGGGATCAGGTGTGGCAGAGATTCTATGAAGTTATGACTTTCAGTTGTCAACAAAGTACTATATAGTCTCGTGGTAGAGCCATAATAGTGTGGCGTATGTTCATACATGATGAGTCTGTTGGTCCACATAGATATGTCATCAGCCAATAATTGCTATGTTACACTGATGTCATCAGCCAATAATTGCTATGTTACACTGATTCATATTAGGATGATGCAGCATGTCATCAGGCTCAAATTATCTGAAATTGGTTTGAAGAGCATTCTGTAGATACCTGATAAAGAGTGCAGCATACACATTTGCCTGACATGAGCCAATCAACCATTTATGGAACCTGGTGGAGAGTTGCATTGGCCCACAAAATCCAGTACCTAAAAATATCAGGTTAGCTCTGGAGAGGATAGCAACAAATCTCTTCAGAGGTTTTCCAGCAACAACTGAAATTTATTTCATGTTAAATCGTTACACTTTGCCAGGCTAAAGGGGGTTCTATCCCATAATTTTTAGCATGTCAGAAACACAAACACATACACACACATACATACATACATATTTTTTATTTTCCTGGGAAAGAAAGGTATAAAAACTGTCCAAATGATCTGTAGATTCAAATCCTTTCTTCTAATCTATTAGCTATTATCATGGATGTTTTTACTTTTTTTATGACATTGATAATGGCTAATAGATTAGTCAAAAGTGCTCAGATCAACAGATCATTTGGACATTTCTTACACTCTGTCCAGAAAAGAAAATAATTATACAAATGCAAGAAAAATCTTAATTGCAGTGCCTTGTCATTCTTCTTTATATATATATATATATTATATATATATATATATATATATATATATATATATATATATGTGAAGAAATATAGTTTTAAGGTGTGCTATATTTATGGGATAAAGTGCTCAATATCAGAGAAAGAGCATATGTAAGTATAAATATAAAAGGGAACATTGAAGTCAACACTCAGAGGTGATAAGCTGTTTCATGCTAGACGCAATTGTCAGCTTGACGATTGCATCTAGCATGAAGCAGCCTGTTGCCTCTGAACGTTGACTTCAATGTTCACTTTTATATATATATATATATATATATATATATATATATATATATATATATATATATATATATATATATATATGTATGTATGTATGTATGTATATATATGTATATAATTTATGGAGTTCTAATTTCAATGTGAGATGATGCATCCTTTTGAAGCTCAAAAATTTAACGGGTTCCTGACCTTGTTTTTCACATAAACACTGTTTTATATCAACATACATTAAATTCATTTAGAATGGATTGAATAAAAGTTGTTAATGTAATACAGTATTTTTGATATGTGTTTATAGTTGGTAAAATATTTATTAATAATCCCTCAAAGTACAGCCAATTTTGTCTGATGAGAATAGAAATTAATTAGATCCTTATTATTAGTGGGTTCACAATAAACTCTAAAATCTAATCTCTAAAATCTAATTTGTTTTGTTATGTATTAATAGGATGTCGAGAAAAGGTAGAGTTTTGTCTATTTCAAATTTATCTGGAAATTTGATAGTAGGTTCAACATTAAGTTTCTTTATTATATCTAGTAGATTTATAATGTGAGTGTTATATATTGGACTGAGATGTGGAGTTGCATCTCTTTATCTCGAATAACTCAACATGTTGGGTTATCTGTCCCTTACTCCTTGGGGGGATCTTTTCATGGTACCTAGTAATAAACAAGCAGTGACAGAGAGCCACTATATTAGACAGACACACTTAAGTAAATTCTGTTTTTTATGGTCTTTTTCAATTTCAGCATGTTTGAATAGTACACAACAATTGGTGACAAGTTCAGCAAATGATGGTTATCAGTTAATACAGTAATGGAATATTGGCAGAAACAACACAATGTGAAGTGAATTAATGAATTGCTACAAAGCTGGGCCTCTTAATGGAAATGTGGACTTTCTTAGTCATCTCCCACTAAGTGCACAAGAACAGGATTTTTCTCCATCCACATGATGAACCTGGTTGATGCTCCAGTGATTGTGGCAGTGGTGAGATAGAAATGAGGCAAGACTCCATGTTGAGCTGGATGTATGAGATCACATATGCAGACCACCAAGCAAGTTGAACAACTATATCTGTAGTCCCAAGTAAGATTAGAGGAATGTTATATATTGGACCAAGATGTGGAGTTGCATCACTTTGTTGTAAGTTACCCAACATGTTTGGTTATTTGTCCCTTACCTCTAGGGAGCATCTTTTCATGGTACCTAATAATAAACAAGCAGTGACAGATGGCCACCATGTTGGATGGATGCACATGATTGCTCTCTTAAGTAAATTCTGTCTTTTGTGTTTTTTATCAGTTTCAACATGTTTGAATAGTATACAGTAGTGAGGATATAAGAGAATGTCATCTATGTATCTTAGGTAAGTTGAGATTTCAGGTATGATGTATTTAAATTGGCTAAACTGGAAACATTCTAAGACAAAACAAGCAAAGACACAACTAGGTCATCCTATAAGTAAGCTGAACATTTGCTTATAGAAATTTTTATTGAAAGACAAGAAACAGTGGTTAGTAATTAGTTTAGATAGTTGTATAATTTATGAACAGGCAGAGGAAAATTTTCTCTGAATATTTTTAGGTGGTTTCTTAACATATTGTGATAATAAATATATTTGTGAATAATGATTTGATATCTAAGCTATCCATAACCTTGTTTCTCATGTTTATGTTTTGTTTCCTCTAGATTAATTCACCAGAATGTTTAATGTGTGTTGGGTTGATGGTGTCTAACAATAGAGTTAAGATTTTTGCAATAGCATTAGCTAATTTGTGGGGTGCACTGTTATTTCTGAACTCAATGGGTCTGATAGGTATGTTGGGTTTCTGTGTTTTGAATAAGTGTGAACATAGTAGGTTGGTATTCTATTAGTGTAGTCCAGGATATTCTTTTCATTTTTTAATAGTTTCTTGACTGCTTTGTTAAATATTTTGTGTGAATATTTACTGTTTGTTAGATTTTATGTAAGTGTTATCATCATTTAAAAACCTCCTTGGTACCTTGACCACATGAATTTAAGCATGATACTAGATTGGTAAATAACTCTCATTGTTTTACTGTTGAAATAGCTAGATGTCATCATAGGTTCTATTCTAATAGTTTCTTTTCTTGCACTTTTCACTTGTGGAACTCTCTTCTAGTTTCTTGCTTCGATGCTATCTACAATTTTCAGCGTTTTAAATGCAACATCAATCGCCATCTTCTCTCTTTGTGAATCCTGTTCTTTTATTCCCTTCCTTTCATTTAACTGAAGTTTTCTTATTCTCTTTCACTCTCAGTAACATCTTGCATTTTAGTGACATTATGATATTGCTTCTCTTGGTAAGTTATATGCCAGGGTATTGATGCTTGACTGCCATTTGTAATTATAAATCTGTGTCTAATCAGCTCATTACACTGAATGTGAATTATTTATATTGCAAATTTCTGATAAAAACTACCAAGGCAAACATAGAAATCTTTATAAATTATTGCTATTCATTTGTTCATGATCAAATCTGACCAAAAATCAGTTGATTTAAATGTTTTAATTTTAAGTACTTCTTGGTATATTGAATGTTTATGACAAGCCTAATAAAAAATTATGCCTTAGAAAACAAATATAAAATATTTTTACAATCAAAATGATTTCTACTAATTATTGTCAAGTATCAAATTAGGTAGTGAATACTTATAAAGATAAAAACATAAAATTATAAATTGAATTTTATACTTTTAGAATGTAACTTCCACTTACCTGAAGATTGGCAGTTGAATTTTAGTAAATGAATCCTGTGTTCCTTCTTAAAAGTGATATTCAAAAAGTTGTTTATTTCTTTTGTAACATTTGTGAACACATTCTTTGTTTCACTTATATTCTGCTTTAAATGTTCATGCAAATACACTGAAAAGAGAGTTAAGAATTTTTGAACTGAAATTAAAAAAGATTGTATTCATAAGTTATATAATTGCTCATATTTAGCAATTATGCAATGTTTTCCAACATTGTTATACTATCTGACATGATGATCAAATATTAGTTTTATACTGTAAAATATATCCAAGTGTTGACTGTAAGAGCAACCACCTTCCAATAATATGCTACCTCATATTAAAATTACAGAAACTGAAGAAGACCAAAGCAACACCTGAATGACACAAGTTGCAAGGAGATGTATATAGACAGAGTTAAAAATATATAGCTTGAGTGAGACTACAAATTCTAAGTGGAATATATTGAAAGAAGCTCTAGGGACATCAACAGATGAGACCATGCCAAGGAAAATGATACAAGAGAAGAAAGAGGGGATGGCAGATGAAATTCTAGAAATGATGAAAAAAGAACAAACGACACCAAGGAATGGAAAGGAGTACAAAGCAGAAATTATAAACAAATGTATGCAGTTGAAAGAGGACAGGATCAATGAAAAGTGTGTGGAAATAGAAAGGATGACCATCATAGATAAAGCAAAAATAATAAACAAAACAAAAAGATGTGTTCCTCAACCAGTTGTATAAAGTCAAAGGAGAGAGTGCTAATCATAGAAAAAGAAAAAATACAGATGGAGTGAATACATAAGAAGACTATTTCATGATAACAGAGCAAAACCTTTAATATTAAAGAATATGCCACATAGAAGAGTAAGAATATATATTTGTGAATAAATTTGATCATGCCTTTTGTGATCAAATTGCAAATAAATCTTTAATGAAATACAATTCTCATGTATTTTATTCACTCATCTTTCTTTTTATGTCTAACTTGGTAAGAAAAAAGTATTCCTTAATGAAAATATTAAAGAAATCACAAGTTTTCCAGAGATATGAATAATTTCTACTTAATTTTATTTCATTTGTATATGTCGTATTATGTATGCTTCACTGGTTTACATCTACTTTTATGTGCTGTGTCACTTCAGGACTGGCAATCATGACTCTCCACAGTTTCCTGTCCTTTGCAGCTCTTAATAAATTTTGTCTTTTTATTCTCTCCTGCCCTGTTAAAACACTTCCCAGATATTTAAATTGTTATACGTGTTTGTAATTTGCATATTGGACTGTTCCTTTTGCTAACAGCCATGCATTCTATCTTCTTGTAATTGAGGTTTATTTATTTCTTCTCATTTTCCTTCACTGACTTCTAAAGGAGTTCCTTCTATGTCTGCTATCAAAATTGAGTCATCAACTTCATATCATGTTGTTAAGATTCTGGCCATACATAAATAATCCTGGTAAGACTTTTAATTCTCTCAGGATTATTCTGATATCCTTCAAAATATGTCAAGATTACTTAGTAGTCCTAAGTTTATATTCTTATACCTCCACTTATAGCAACTGCACTCCATCTCCAGTAATTCAAAACAAAGAACAGGTTTGCTGCCATTAGATTTTCTCTATTATTCTAATATCCTTCCCAAATATGTCAAGATTCCCTAGCAGTGTCAATGCTCTTAGGCTTATATCCCCACACCTCTACTTATAGTGAATCTATCTCCAATAATTCGAAGCAAAAAACTTGTTTGCTGCTCGTATAGTTTCTGGATTGTTCTAATAGCCTTCTCAAATATGTATATATTTGAGAAGGATATTAGAAGAATCTAATAGATATATATGTATACATATATATGTCAATAGCAGCAGTTTCCAGCAGTTCTAGGTTTATATTCTCACACCTCCACTTACTCTGAGTGCACTTCATCCCCAATAATTAAAAGAAAAGATATATAAAATTCAATATTTTGATCGGATTTCCATAAGAGCTCTGATAAATTTGTTCAGTTAACTCAAGTCACAGGTTTATAATTTACTCCTTTCATTCCAAAGCAAGGAAATAAATCTACCAATACACAAGACTTAGACTCTGAGAGAATATAAGAAAAATATATCATTAAAGAGAGAGAGCAATAGAAGAACAAGAATTAAGAAGACAAAAGATAATGATTGATATTGCATTTAAATTTTTGAAAAACAAAGTTGAGTGGAAAGCAAGAAGTTTGAAGAGAGTTTCACAGGTGAGAAGTGCAACAGAAGAAACTGTTAACATAGAACTTATGGTTACATCTAGACATTTCAACTAGAAAATGATCAGAGCAATTATGAAAATATTTATAGAAAAGGCACAGGAAAGCTATGTTATGGAAGTGGGAAAGTGACAGAAACCTAGATGCCAGGTCAGGACCAATGGCATTGCATATTCTTCTTTGTATTTTATCAAGAATATAATATAATAGAAATCTCTCACAAAAAATATAAAAAGACATTTAATTGAATATATCTGCTAAGTTCTATTCAGACAGAATATATACAAGATATATAACACTTTTCTTCAAAAGCTGAAGGGACAGGACACACCGGTGCAACAGCTGCTTCCTCCACTACCTTGTTTTCCCCCAAAAGGGTCAATATCACTATTTCTGCAATCACCCTGAAAAAAAAATAGAAAACAGTGACTGAGCCCTTTTTCCCCCACTCTCACTTATCTCAAAACTTTCTATTCTGCAAATGTTCCTTCGCTTTCTCCTACTCCTCATCTTCCTCATCCAGCATCACCACTTCACAATAATGAAATAAAGAGAAGGAGCATCTACTCAAGAAAAAGAAGGCAAGAAAGAGGTACACCACAGTGTCAGATGTTTGCCTTATTGATGCAGCTATAACAGAAAAAAAGAAGAAATTTCTAACTACAAAGACTAAAAGACAATTTTTGGAGTATGGAATATTGAAGTCCTAACAAATTTACCTTATGCATAGTGCTTCTTTAGTGCATCTTGAGGGTTGATTTAGGCACATGAATTTTGGATTGTTCTGGAGGAAGTAAATAAAATCTTCAAAATGTTGTCTTCCTGCACAACATTATCAAAATTGAGATGGGCTAATGTTTCATGGGACTTTCTGTTGGTTTCCTTACACCTAGTATATTTTACTCAGCTAAAAAATGCCTCTTTCTAGGTTTTGACTCTTCTCAGTATATTTTGATAATAAAGACTTATCTTGGCTGGCAAACTAGTCTTTGATCGCAACATCTCCACTTGCATTTGCAGACCTGACATGTAGATTGTGTTTGTTAATTGTTATCATAAAGAAAAATTTGTTTTATTTCATTTGAAATTTATGTACCCAATAACTATAGGGAGTGAGATAATTTGTTTTGGCAGCATGATCCCTTTGTGAGATTCTTCTGTCGTATAGTTTTAGTGGCCTTAATCTCAGTCTAGCCTACAGAGATCAAAGGAAGGGTACTAATATAAAGCTCACTTGTTGAGAAATATGTGACCAAGTTCAATAACTCTTCCCTACATTTTACTCTTCTGTAATATAATTTATAATAAACTAGCAGCATGGCCCGGCGTTGCCCGTGCTTGATTCAAAAATTGTACAACTCATACAGCAATCGCTATCACTTGACTTAAAATATTTTTGCCCTTCCTTGCCTTTAAAGGAGTGCCCTTTGCCATGCTGATGTTGCTACAAGCCTTACTTCTTGCCTATCTCACACCACAAATTTTTTCTCAGCTCTATACTAAACATTAAATCTGTTACGAACAAAGAACTAAACAAAACGAACACAAAATGATCAGCTTTATAAAAGGACTCATAACTGGAAAAACCGAATGAAAAAAGAATGTTAACAACAAATACTTTTTCACACCCAATCCAGTTCTGTGAAATCAGAATCAACATTGATTTTAAGCAAGCGAATGAGCCAATTGGAGTAAAGTGCCATGCAGATTTAAATTTTTCCCACTTGTGACAAATGCAGCTATCGATTTTTTTTGCATGCTAATTAGCATTCATGTCAGTCAGCTCTCACACTGGCCAGTAGAATCTTCCTGCCTATTCGTGGCAGCCAGCTATAGGCTCTCACTCTGGCCAGTAGAAAATGGCCACAAACTACATGAAAACTGCCATAGAAGCATGAAAAAATCAATTATTTCCGCTATTGATGGGAATTGGGAAATGCAAAGTCAGTCTTGGAGCATGTGCATGTAATTTTTGGTGCAAATCCATCAAAAATTGCAGCCGTGTATTCGTTACACACACACACACACACACATCCTGCCTTTTATAGATAGAGATATTACTCCTTTTCTGTAAACACATGTATTATCTTCCTCTATCTATTTTACTCATTTCCACAAATCTTTTTACATTTATTCCAATTTTAATATGACAAAACCAACAACACTCATTCATTCAGACTTCTTGAAAGGCAAACAGAACCATGTTTGATTGTGAAGCTCTTCATAACCAAGCAGTTAAAGCACACTGTGAATCAGATGGTGGTTCCTCCTGCAAAAGGGGACATAAGTTCAAATCCTGCTGGAGAGCATATTTTCTTTAATAGGTTTTCCTGTGTGGCTGATGGACAAAGTAAATACTTTTTTAAAATAAAAATGGAGTGCCTACTCAAATGCAAGTATCCATTAAAAATAATGTTTGAAATAATAAAAATATCTCTGATAAAAAATAAACTCAATTCTTTGGAAGTTATTATGAAAAGGATTTTCAGTAGTAATTTTATTAGAAACATATTTTCCCTTGAATTTCCAGTAAGAATCATTTTTACTTACTAAGTTGGCAAAATGCTCCTCCATAACCTGAGAGGCATTTTTTAATTTTGCATTTACCCATGTTGCTAAAATCACAAGATTCAAGATGTCTGCAGTTGCATTCATATATGTTAGATGGTCCAAACTTTCTCATATTGACCTTGCATCCATCTGTAATATCTAAAAAAGGAACAATGAATAAAGTTTGATGAAATATTAGATTGTGCAAGTTACAGCATTAAGCATAAAATGAATTGCTAAGATGAAAGAAGACAATTTCAATATCTAAACAGGTTTCACTTTATATTTATTTCTCTGTTGAAAATAATGTTATCTTCTCTTATTTACTGCACCTTGAGGTCTAACTCAGGGCTCTACAACAAGAAGATATTCTTTGGAAACAAAGCAAAAATCCTCTTTAAAAATAATTAGTATTAGTTAGAAGTAACTCTTTCTTTCATGTATATCTCTCAACAGATCCATGACAAAATGTGAAAGAAAAATTCAGTGAAAATTGGTCCTAAGCTGGAATCATGAGTTTCTGAAGACTGATCAGTTTAATTCATAAATTTATTAGCTTATTTAATTGTGTCATTGAGGGACAAAATTTCACAGCAGTTGATAGAAAAACTGATCAGAAAGAAATCTCCAGCAGTCATTAGTTGTATAGGAATCTTACTCTCTTATCACCATGGCTGTCTACTCATGGGATAAAACAGGTCCTTCCACCCTACCCTAATCAACAATATATTATCTAACATTGGGATTATTCAGTGGCTTGTACTTGTTTACACTGTAAATTTCAGTGATGACAGCTCCTCCATGGGTAGAATCCTTGTCATATAATAGAGTTGGCAGTAATATCCTTTTACCATTCCATAGAAGAGTGGTAGTTGTTGATTTACATAATTGGTGTGGCTCATTACATGTATTTTACATGATAGTAATTACTAGCAATAAAGCTTGGAGCAATGAGTTTTATAAACAAATGATAGCAATTGACAATTTTGCTTACATTTTAGGGAACATGTTTCAGGGTAATTAGCTAATCTGACATGAAACTTAATATTTTTTCTAAAGAGAGTAATGATGTAATAGATGTTAACACTTCTTTTATTTCACTTCCTGTTCACTTTTTACCAAATATAATTAAATTTATAATCATATTTATATTTAAATAAAAATAAAAACTTTTCTTTGAATATAATAATTATACTTTTATTATTACCTTTTTTATAAGAATAAAATTGACCGCTTTTATTTGGGGTTCTTCCTCTCTTCCAATCATTGACAGCTTGGAATAAAAGAACAAAATATAGCAATTTAGAACAATTTTTTGGATTATAACTTTACATTAATTTTCTACTACTTAACTACCAAACAGTCAAAAGTATAGAAAAATGTAGAACAAGAGTAGAGATTTCCAAACATTTTGCAGTGGTGACTTTTTCTATTCCTATGTGCTGTATTCCTTCAAGATTGTCCCATATTTTAGGGGAGGTCTTTTGTACATAATAATGGTGTTCTTTTTGTAAAGAACATTGGTAATGTAAAAAGCATAAAGATGGGAATCCTTTAGCATATTTTAATAAAATGTTTGAGTTCTTTTATTCTGTTTTGTCTGCAGTATTGTTTCTTAAATTTTGATCTTAAGACACTGAAAAATTGATAAATGACATAGGTATGAAGTTGTCAAAATAAAAACTCAAAGATTGATGATTTCTGCTATTGCAAAAGAAGTTAACACATATAAGAGGGTAAATTCAAGAATATTGAAGAATTATTATGTTAGTGTCTCCTTTAAATATTTGAAATGATCTTGTTGAAGGTTTTTCAAAAGTGCATGTTGTAAGTGTACATGAGTATACATGTAGGTATGCATACATGTTAGTTTTAATCTATGTATGTGCATGCAGTGATCTTCCAAGTGTAGCTCAGATGTGGCACAAGGCCGAAAGTATGGGACACCCAGTGAGGATCGAATTCACTACTCAGTCGTAATTGATCTAGCGAGACAAGCTTGCTAACCATTAAACCACCTCGAGATGCCCAATGTATGTGTATGTATTTATGTAAGCATGTGTAATAAGAAAAAAGCCTACTGTGTTGGCTGAAAATCAAGAGTGACTGAGCCAAAGAAAATATGTCTTACCATATCCAAATCTCAGATATACTGTCTACTGGGATTGTTAAAAATCTAATGTCTTCATCACTTCAAAGGAAGACTTATTTTCATGTGCTTATTCAGTGATGACATATTACACATGTCTATATACTTTCCATTAATAATTTTATGCTTCCATCATAAACACTCCTGAAAAAGTGGGGAACATTCCCAGAAGGAAGTGCGTTCACACTAGATATTATGCAACTTTTGAAAAAGAGATGACAAATTTTCAGAAGCATTAAGCTCCTTCAAACCTACAAGGATGTTCAGATTTTACAAGAGACCATTCAAGATATGTGGGGCAGGAGTGACACATACCATGCCATTTGTTTATGAAAAGTAAATGAAATATTGAATACTGAAGTCTGAAAGCCTTGATCATACAACCACCAGACAAATAGAAAATGTTGAAGTTGAGTTTGCAGCAGTAGATTACAAGTAAGGAATATTTCCTTACATCACATTATTGAGGCATTTTCATGATAGACAGATGGACTAGATGTAGTGACTCTTGCTTAGTCAATTCTTCCATCTCATTTAAATTAACATATCCAGTCATTGTAAACATAGAATGTTTCTTTGAGTTGTTTTTTCTATGAAATTCATTTTTCAACTGATACATTTTGTTTTAAATTTCATGTTATATATATATATATATATATATATATATATATATATATATATATATATATATACAGAAAAAAATAGACATATGAAGAAAAAACAACTTTGTTCCCATTTTACTTCATAGGCATAAACAATAAATTTAAATTATCTTAATATACCATAGATAAAGAAAAGAAAAATACAAGAGACAGTACCACATGAGTTGCCTCTAAGTTCCAGCTATTTCAAGGGTAAGTAATTTCTCATTTTCTGCAAGACAGAACTTGAAAACTTGAGATTGATGGTATTTTTAGATGAACGCATGACAACCTTTAAATCAAGAAATAAACAGGTGCAATCCAGATTTCAGAGAAATATCTCTAATCCTGCTATGGACAAGGAAATAGACAAAGTGGTCAAAACAAGCATTTCAGATTTCAACCGGCACAAGTAACCATTGATTCAAAAATTGTGTTTATTAAAACAATTTGTTGTAGTAGAAAAACACTTCTGTTTTTCTTTGCCATTCCTATGCCTTCAATTGACCACCCCACTCCACTTCTTGGTCAAGGAGCCTTGCATGCTGGGTGGCTTGGTTGTGGTCAGTATTTTATTACATTCATCCTTTCTCCCAAACTACCAAGACTTAAAATTTACTCAGGGTGAAAAAATTTTTAACTAAACTGCCTCTATCCTATTACGTTCTCCATAAACTGCATAAATCTTTTTATGTTTCAAAAACATTTATAAGTATCTTAAGATAAAAGCATATGTTGAAGATGTTGCTTATTTTCAACAATCTTCCTAAATCTATGGTAAAAATGTGACAAGAGAAAAATGTATGCTGTTAAGATATCTGTTAGAGTACAATACAAAATGATAATTTTGAATGAATTTAATTAAAACTCAATGCTTCTGTTGCCATCTAATAGTAAAAATAGAATTGATTGTTTGGGTTCTGTAATATATGCTTTATAAAAATTACAATTCACCTTTAACTTTTCTCTTGATTTTTGTTTCCTACATTTGCAGTTCATATTACTGGCATCTTAATTTTGTTTTTTAAACACCTTTATCTCTGTCATAAAATATACAGCAGAAAACATTCACCTTAAATCTATTTCCAACCAGGCTTATTTCACAGGATATAAAATAGATAATATGAAAGTCAAAACAGTTTCTTTTCTTTTGTTTTTGAAAATGACATAACTTTTGTAATTTATTTTAAGCAGTAAATATTGGGTTGAATTTTATTTAACTTTATGTTAAAATTTTGCTAATTTATTGCTGATTAATAGTTTTATTAATTTATGATTACTTCAGTTTTTAAAAATTTGAAAATATAAAATAAAGCAAGTGAAAAAAATATAAAAACATAGTAAGACAATTTGAATCACAATAAAAAAAATTTACACTAATATAGATTATAAACAATGAAATTAGTAAGTTAGTTTTAGCCCAATGTTATTTTGAAATTTAGTCATCAGGTACAATTATGATGAAACAGCAATAAATGAGAAAATTTCACATTAAACTGAAAATTACAGTCTGAGAGGATGTTGAAAAGATTTTGTCCCTGACTAAGAAGAATAATCAAGAGTCATGTAATATACATTCTATTCAACAAATATTCTATGAACACAAAAAGGATATTATACATAACAATTAATCAAATGCATTAGTCACACATAGAAATAAATTGAAACACTATTTTGGTCAAAAGAATTCCACACTTAATAAAAGAGAAAGTAATTTACTTACGATAGAAAATTCTTGAGAGTATTGCTATAAAAATCTTACCAAATTTAAACCTGCACCAGAGATTTTTCAAATATTTCCCCTCCTGAAAGAAATACTCTTTTCCCAAGTCAAATTACATGACTATAAAGATTTTTAAAAATTAAATGAAAACTATTAAATCCATGACACTGTATCATTTAAAATATATAATACATAAATTAAATTAATATAGACAATAATTACATTATAAAATAAATTCAACAATAACATTTACTCACTTCTGTTTATTTAAACATTAAATTACATCACTTAGCATCTTCCATAATTTACCTTGACTGTTCAGTAATGAGCATTTTTAAATTTTAAAATTCTGAAAAATGAATGATGCTTTGACTTTTACTTATAAAGAAAAGTAAAATAAAAAATGTTTGTAAAATAAAATCCTTGTATTTGTGTTGAAAGCCAATCAGAGGAGGAAACACATTGGTTAAGATAAGTTTTCCTTTTGTCTTAAAATCATTCTGTTCTACATAATCAACCTGTAGTTCAATGCACCTGACAAACAGTTTCAAATATTTCTTTAATGCTTTCTAAACAAATCCTGCTGTTTGCTTAATGAAATATTATTGATTTTGTAAAGTCAGTGGGGAAGAAAACTGTAGTGACACTGGCAAATTAATATGCCTAATTTGCATAAGTGCAAGAGAAAGCCTATATAACTCATTACTGAGAATAACATGGACAAAGAGAAGCTTAGTATTGACTATTGCTAAACTTTGACTTCACATCAAAAACCTTTTTGGTACATTCCCTCATTTCAGTCTGCTGACCCAACATCTATCAAAACAATAATATTAGCAGAATATAAAGTAAATAATATAAGTTAAAAACTTTAACTGATATCAGAATAGTATCTTTAGTATAATGAAATCAAAATAAAATAAACTTACCTGATACCAAAGTAAAAAACAAAATGAACATCAAAATAAGTTTGGAAAGATGCTCCATTACTCTAGTTTAGCCTTAGACTGAAGATACATGAGTTTTGCTCACTTCAAAAATGGTTTTCAGTGACTGCATCCTGGACTATGGGGAGTGTCTTTTTTTTTTCTTTGGTTAATTTTTATATCACATGATTTGATAGTTGGGATCCAGATTACATTATAAGTGGGCAATTTGATAGAAAAACACAAATATTTAGTTACAGGATGTTTTTTTTTAATAAATTTCTTTTGATTATCTTTATATGTAGAGAATTAATGCAAACAATCATTCATCTATAGTTAAATTTAATTCTTGTACAAAGTGAGGACATCCTAATTTCATTCATAATTGAAATATGAGAATGATAAACTATAAACAAATTTTGTGTATAAAATATTGGCTTCAGTAAATCACAAATTAGAAAAATATATTCTATACATGACTATGTAAATAATAGAATAAATAAAAAATAGTATTAAAACATGATCTTGTTTAACAGAGTGACAGCACCTCAGCAAATAAGAGAAAAATGTCTACTGAGGAGAAATTTAAAAAAACATCTTAAATACTGTCTAATGGTTAAATCCACTTTGGCAGTAAGGGAAATAAGCTACTGCCTCTGCTTAAAACACATCCATTAAGTTGAGGAGTAAGGGTCTAATTTGTTAGCCAAGGATGGTGAGTTTAATTTGAGGTAGCAGTCAGCATAATTAACAGATAGTATATAAGCAGAGGATTCCTTATCAAAAACAAGTCACAGAAAAATAATCTAACTTCAAATTACTGCTGTTTTTTCATGGCCATCAATTTGCTCTGCAATCTCATATGAGAATAATTCATAGATTATAGATTTTCTTTTTTATAAGAATGGAAAATATTTTGTGATCATCTGATGTTAAACATATTTACAAATGCCTTATAGAAATGTTTACAAAAATATTTTCTTTCAAAAACCTAAAAAATACATGCTTACTTAATTTTCTCTCAGAAAAAAATTTTAATACTAAGCAATTAAAAAATGCATTTTCAAAATGTCCTTAGAATGGATTTTGTTGTAGATATCTTTATAGATCTAATAAAAATACTTTCACTTCATGCTTGCTTAGTTTGCTTTCTATAAATGTTTTTAAATCTTGTGACTTTAAAATAAAAGTTCATCAAAAATAAGTTCTTCCTACAACTGAATTCTAAAAGAATCATCCTTGAGTTATATACAGCAAATTTGAAAATTAAATATCTGTAAATGTTATCTGTCTTAATGATATAAACATTGAATTAATTTATACAGTTGTGCTAAGTACTCCTTCTTCTATGTTCCATGTCCCATAAGGATGTTGGTGATTATGGGTGTTGTAATTTTGGCTAATCCTTGTCGCCAAAATGTTGTAACCTAGGGAAGATTATTGAGTAGAATAATCACAGGAAGGTTGGTAATGAACAATAATACTTAGGACACGAACAACACATATATGATTCGCCAGTGGTGCATAGAAGAATTAGTCAACTGCTAAAAGTGAGTCAAGTTAATTCCGCAATGAATCTCCAACTGCAGACCAATATACAGTATTTACTACTGTATTTATGTGAATGGGGATATACCAATTATTGTCCTTAGCTATGCTACAACAATGGGTCTCCACAATTTCTTGCCCTTTGTAGCTGTTAATAAATTTTCACCTTTTTTTATCTCTCCTAAGCACTGTTACATTCTGCTATTCATTTACACAAGCTTGTCAGGTAAGTTATGCATTGTTATCCATTGTCCCTTTTGCCTTCAACTTGTCCTGTGAGTATAAAATTTTCCAAGCCCTGTTTCCTCATTATGTGCCCTAGACATTTCAACTATCTCTTTGTGATGTTAAATACATGTCTTTTTGTTTCCATTTTCTTGAAAACTTTGTTATTGCCTATATGTTTTGTCCATGGTATTCTCAGCATCCTTCTGTAGAACCACATTTCTGTTGCTTCAAGTCTCTTCTTTATCTGTGAGGCAACCATTCAGCATTCACTGCCATATAAGAAGACTAATATTATGTAACATTTCAGTAGTTTTTTCTTTGTTTGTAACAAAATTTGTCTATTTCTTAATACTTTGCTTAGCTTTTGGAAGGCATCTTTTGCTATCTCAATGCACCTTCAGATTTCAGTTTCACACCTCCCATCCTCTATTAATATCATTATAACTTGCAAACCAGAAACTTCTGTAATACATAGAGGCAAGTTTTCATAAATATATTGTAAACTAACCCTCCAGCTAAGTAAATACTCATGGTCATATCATGTTGAAACACAGGTTCTCATCTTATCACTTAAGTTAAGCAATAACAAGTTGTCTCTGTACCTAGACAGGTGACTATTTGGAAATAACAGGTGCTGTGCACTTGAATATGCAGGTGAGGTAATTGGTAATGGCTCAGAATGGAATAGAATGAGAAATTGGAAAACCAAATTCATTACATTCATTTATAAGCAAATAACATTGAAAAAGATAAGAATCAATTTTTTCTCCCCCTAACTATAGGTTAAATACTAGGACTTATATTGAAAATCTTTTCTCATCAGCAACTGAAAGAATTCTAAGAGTCCTGATGCATATAAACTATTATTAAAACAGTCCATATTGGTACATCTAGAGTCACATTTGCTCTGATCTAGACTGTATGCTTTATTGCTGCTGCTATTTCCTCAAAATGCATAGATATTGGGTTAGCGTCTCCACTACATGACTGTATAGAACCTGATCAATGGATGTAGGAATTTTTAAGTGACCACTTAAACATCCAGCTTGTGCCTCAATTCACCAAAATGACTAGCCAGCCTCTTGAAGGCCCACAAGCCTTCTCAAATGAATCTAATTGAACAAAAGAGCATGTATGTTTTTTTTATGTGTCACCTACTTATATTTGACTTCTTCACTGCACTGAACCTTTTTGCAGCATGCGACACCAGTTTTGCAGAGATCGTTCACTGATATGAAGGTGGTTGAAGACTAAAAATATTACCACAATATCTATTACCCTCCCACAAGCACATATACCCAAATCAAAATTGTCATCATCCTTCAAGTGTTGTAATTTTATATTCTCTCAATATATCATCTTTCTTTTTGCTTTAGATCAAAGTATAACACCTGTTATATATTACAGTGTAACCGGGATATAAGAGAGACCCGGATATAAGAGAGATTTTCTCTGGTCCCAAATTAGAGCTATACTTACCTAAACAAAATAGACCAAACCCGGATGTAAGAGAAACCCGGATGTAAGAGAAACCCGGATATAAGAGACTTCTCCGGTCTCGACAACTCTCTTATGTCTGGGTTACACTGTATTTAATGTCATATATATAGTGGTAAAATACTTCTAAATCAAAATTTATTAAATTTATCACTGGAATTACCTTAATTCTAATGCAATATCTTAACCTATGTTTGAAATTTTAAAATGTTTGGAGTTTATTAAATAATAAACATAAATGTATTCACTTTAATATACAGGGTGCGATGGGTAAATTGTCGCCATGTGAGGGGCATAGATGAGCAAGAGACCAACAACACTCCTTATAACACCAAAGAAGGCAAGGGTTATGGCAGCAGTCACTAACTTATACAAGGACACCATCCAAAACAGTTGCAGGAGTTTCCAAAGTCGTCTGGAGGCTGTAGTTGAAGTCAATGGTGATTTTATTGAATAAATTTACTCTTTAGTATTTTTGTGTAACTGTGGTAAATATATCTGTTAAAATGAGATATCAGTGTTATTTTCATTTTTCCATAATTTAAAATACAATTTATCCACAACACCCTGTATATATACGGAGTGTGTCAAAATTAATTTGGGGGTGGGTTCCTCAAACCAAAATAAGGTATGGAGATTCAATCTACCCACATTTTGTTTGTTGTGTAAATTTGTTATTCCATCTCTTCCAAGCGTTGCCTCATCCATAAACAAGATTGAAGAGACAAACAATGGATCGGCAGCTTGAGCATTAAATCATTGGTAAAAGTTTTTCCGTGGTGAGTGATTAAAGAGCAAAAGACCCTGCACACGTTGCAAATGATACAGAAGCTGCTTTTGAAGTACTTTCCACACGGTACTATGAGATGTATGACATTCTAGGCCCACTTGACGCGTGCTGATACCTGAATCATCTCTGACAGCTTGTAGAATGTGTTCTTCATTAAACTGAAAGCAAGGGTTATGGCAGCATTCACCAACTTAAACAAGGACATTGTCCAGAAGAGTTACAGGAGATTCCGAAGTCGTCTAGAGGCTGTGTTTGAAGCCAATGGTGATTTTATTGGATAAATGTACCCGTTAGTATTTCAAGATATTTTTGTGTAATTTTGGCAAATATATCTGTTAAAATGAGATGTCTGCGTTATTTTCATTTTTGCATAATTTAGACAACAATTTATCCTTCAAACTCTGTATTACTTTTACTTTAAAATATGGTAGAAAAGCATTTTTAACATGGAGGTATATGTTTTTATGAGGTGTCGACAGCACTTTTGATAGACTTATTTATGTTTGGGAATATTTTTCTAAGAGGAATAATTATTGTAATTACTTGACGGTTATAACGTGAATGCCATTTTTATATAATTTTATATTACCCAATAATCTTTAAACTTTAGAAAAATATTCTAAGTAATATATTTTATTGAACTTTTAGTACTTAGGTTTTATAGTCTTACTTAAAAAGACGTTGGTTGAGGAACTATTAGAAAATCACCAAAAAATTTTAAATTTACTACAGTGACCGCTCATGTTTCTGATAATGTCACGCATGGAAAACCACATTTACAAAAACCTGCATGTTTATGCACACACACAAAATTCATTTTTTTTAATACTAGGGATCGCTGACTTGTAGTAAGTCTTTCCATTTATTATTTAAAACTTTATAAATTATTATAATTGAATTTTTAAAAATGAAAACAATTTTTGTAATCATTCATTATTCATCAAAAAAATTATCTTATGACAATAATGTCC